TTTTTATAGGAAACCATAACCATCCATTGATGTGATGAAATGGGACACAAAAGAAGATCCTATCAAGAAATAATTACAAGAAGCACCTCTATTAACTAAGTAAGCGTGTTGAGGCTATAATTACAAAAGGGAGGAGACAACTTGTTCCAAGAAATAGCTAAAAGTGAAGTAGAATCAATAACGCTTCTTGTTCAGGAAGATGGAAGTGTTTCATTCCGACCAAAAGACTCCAACAGAAAGTACAAACATGGTTAAGTCAAAGGATCTTTTTGTCATTTTTTAAAGGGTGCCCCAATAAAAGAAGATTAATGTTAGTATCAACCAGGCGAGGAAAGCTCCATCCAAAAACACCTTTTAAGAAATTCCAAAACTTGGTGGCAAAGGAACAGTTACTGAGGTGGATCATGTTTCACTGTGGCTGTAGCATATAGGGCAGCAGCTGGGGGATAAGTATAGCCATGGAGAAAGACATGAGAGCTTATCAAAAGTATTAATGCAAGAGTGGCTAAGCTCCTATATAAAGAACTTCACCATTTTTGGATAACTACCAGTCCAAATATGTTGATCGATAGCTGCCTTCGATAATGATTTAGTTGAGAAAAAAACCATCCTTTTCCAAAGCCCAGTGCCAAGAGACTTCACAGGATGAATCATGAAGGGGTGTAAAAGAGTGGATAAAGCGGCCCATTCTTCCATCTCAGGCTCCATGAGATTTCATCAGAGATGAAGGATCCATGATATTGTATTGGAACACAAAAAACCCGCAATAGGTGCATCTTTCTTGCTCGATAAGTGATAAAGCCTAGAGAAGAGTTGTTGAAGATTAGAGGTCCCTGTTTAAACATCCTTCCAAAACGATGTGGGGAGCCCCTCACCGGCCTTGACCGAAATGTGCGCATACACCAAATGTTTCAAGTTATTTATGTGTTTCCATGGTCCGTAAGGGAAATGCAAGGATTTGGATTCTGGTTCAAGGTCAAAGTGGATGAAACCACATTTGAAGGCAATAACCGGATGCCAAAGAGCCTCCTCCTTGTTGTGAAATCTTCAAATCCCTTTTGCCAAGAGGGAAGAATTTTGTTGTGTATACCAAAAATCCCGAGGCCTCCATCCTCCAGGGGATCTTGTAAATAATGTCTTATGTTACTGCATGCTTAATTTCAATAATATTTTGCATGAAAGTTATACCTGCATGCTTAATTTCAATAATATTTGGCATGAAAGTTATACCTCCATGCTTAATTTTCTATCGTTCATTCCATGAGGGCTTTCTCCTCTAATAATGCTGAAATACATTTTCACTTCTCTACTCATCAGGAAGTGACGTTGAAGTCTAAACTACATTCTTACATGGCCGTCTGTTTAATACAGTCTTAAGCCCTTCCAGCTATAAATCGAAATATCTCTAGAATGTCCTCAATTCTTCCCATTCCCATTCTACAACGTATAGAAAGCTTAGAAGGTAACTGGATCACATTGAGATGTTCTAAATACGAACTTTAAAAAAAAAACATCAAGTGTCCATAAACATAAATGAAAGTCATTTTTAAGTTTGTTATCAAAAGAAGTTGTTTTTTAAGCATATAAGACAACCTGTAGTGTTTGATGAACTAGCTCCATCAGTTTTGCGGCAGCTTCAGACACCAAGCATCTCTCAGATAGGAAAAGTAAATCCACAGTCTGATTTGAAGAACTTTTAGTTACTTCATTGCCCTTTTTCTTACCGCCTTTGATTGTGAACTCCTGTATTCATATTTATCACATAAAACAGACCATACTACAATATTTATGAGGAATATTATCATGTTCTAAGAACTTACTTCAGGCACAGAAAAATCGCATTTTAGAAGCAAATTTCTGGCCTTCGCCAAAATTTCTTTCCTCTTCCCAGAAGCAAAGTGAACCTCCACATTTTCAGCAAAAATACTCAGCCTTTCATCGTTTGCATCAGATGAAGAAATAAACATCATTTCCTTTAATGCACCCTCAAGCTTGGATGTACTTTCAACAATCTTCTGAAATCCAGCAAGCTTTGAAGCATCTTTTGGAACTACCTGAAAAAGGGAAAAAGATCATAGAGTCTAGCTTAAGTCTATCTATTCTCTCTCTCTCTCTCTAACTTGAACCATCAGTCTCTGGCCTAAATATATTCTAATCAGCTCCCGTAAATTTAAGTTTCTGCAGAATACAAATGATAAATCATGCCCAACCCATCGTATCCAAATTTACTATCCATATAATATTGCAAGGTTTCACATGAAATTTTTGTATATCATAAGTCCAACTACAATCAACAAACGGAATCTCCATAAAAATTTTGAAACAGAAACACGAGATTCATTTTGCTTCATGTTGAAGAATTATAAGAACAAACCTTAGAAAGGAAACCAGATATGATCAATTCTGACATCCGAGGCCACGTTAATCTCCCAAAACGTTGTATCCAAGAACTATTTTGATAACATATGTGTCGGGAGATGAACTTAACAATCTGAGTTACCCCTGAGTATATGGTTTCACAATCAACGTTCTCAATCTGAAGATAATGAGAAAGACAAGTTCACTTTCTGAATAAACAAAGTAGCAAAAGTAAACAAGTTTGAAGACATCAATTTGTATAATTAAGCAGAAGTCACTTTTTCTTCAACCAGCCAAGAACTTGGAGAATAGAAGAATGAGAATCATTCACCCTAACTCGCACTAATAAATAAAGTAGTCAATTAATGAATTATGATCTCAGGTTTGTGGTAACTGCTCACAAAATTGAGAACCATTTCCGTCCTGGTAAAGAATATCATTTATTCTCCCATCTTGTTGGGTCCAACAATTTTTTTATCTTCCCTTCCTCTCTACTTTTTTTTTTTGGGTTCCATTGCGACTGAAGTTTGATTCTCATTCCAAACATTAGTGAACAATATCGAGGGCCATTCTCTCTCATTCATATTAAGAACATGAGGCTCACTGTACTTTTTCATCTACAAAAGTTTTGGTATAAGTTGATTGAATATATATTTTCAAAATTATATTAATACACCTACGAAAGTAATTAGCTCTCTTGAATTCCACGAGCTATCTAGAATTAATTCTGTATGAAAAATTAAATTAAGGAATGAACACTTGGAAGATTATTAACCTTTTCTAGGGATGGCACTATCTTCAGGACTGCTGTACACTTTTCTTCAGCATCTTGATTTATTTCTTCCACATAAGATATTGGTGAGCCGCAAGTTAAGGCCGGAGAGAAAACAAACTTGATAATCAAATCAGCCACTTTGGCGAGGCCATAATCCAAAATACCAACAACCTGTCATGAATGCTTCCATTTCATTAAAGACTTATATTACATCAAGATAAATGAATTCAAACGTCGATACAAATAAAAAAAAAAAAAGCTCCAAATAGCTAGAGGGGGGAATTAGAATAGGAGGCTTCAATTGTTGACTCAATTAAAAATTATAATATATATCGATAACAGATTCCTATTCATGCAATGGAAAATGCCGAAAATTCGAAGAACTTAAACTGTGAATAATTAATGAAGGCTGATCGAATTCAGAAAAGTGCAAATCTGATAAATCTCTAGCAAAAATAAGGGAGTAAAAGGGAGACGAGGCTTACATCCATTGCTTCCAAAACTGTTCGTAGCTCAACCCCATCAATTTCGCCTATATTTGACCAGTATTTCACTCGAATAGATTGCTGATCAAACCTTACTGCATGTTCCAGGATTTTCACAAGCAAGTCTTGAATCTATACATCCAAATTCAAAATCTCGAAAAGATAAAACAAATAATAATGTGAAAAAAAAACCAACGAAGATTTCTATATACAAAAAAAACCGCCAAATTCAAAACTGACCAAAAAACGACTGACCTAAGAACATCTAATTCAAGTTCAAATATATCTTACTCTGACAAATTAACATAAAGAATTGAAATCTATTCCACTGTTGGAATCTGCACTATTAAAACTAGACGAAGATTGATAATAAACTCGAAGTCAATTCATTTTTTGAGCTGTTAGAATTCCAAGAAAACGAAACTGACATTTTAAATCATCAAAAGTTTCGAGGAAAGAACACAATATCACAGAAGTTCAGGTCATTTCCAGTTTGTACATTTGCGGACAAAAATATGAAGTACAACTCTCATACATAAACATCTTCCAAATACCAAAGCAGTTTCCTCACCTCCTCAAAGCACTGGTACCACTCCCTTCTCAGTATCCTGTAAACCAAGGGCTCTCCATCTTTACAGTCGTCGTCATTGTGAATGTGTAGAGCAGTCTTGAGCTCTCTTACTTCCTCCGCTGCAAATTTGAGCATTCCTTTCCTTGTTGCTTCTCTAACACTCTTCAACCTGTCATCCATTTCCACAATTACCTTCACTAACTCCAACAATTCACTCTTCTCCCTCGCGCCCTTCGTCTTCTCCTTCATGTCATCGATAATCTCACGCATCTTGACCTCTATCGGGCGGTCAGTAGTCAACTCCAGCACATTCGACACGTCCTTGGAGATTTGGTGATACTGGCAAACTGCGTCATTGCAGAGGGAGAAGAGGTCCGAGAACTCTTGATGGTGAGAAAGTAAGTAATCGCGTATCTTAGTTTTGATCTGGAGAGAGTTGGACTCGAGGCGGTTGACAAGAAGGCGGAGATCGGGGGTGGAGAGAGGCGCCGTCGGATCGGAGAGGTCCTGAGTCGAGAGGAGTTCACGTATGTCAATCGAACCGAATAAGGCCTCCATGTCTGAATCCGAGGGATGTTGAAAGAAGCGATCGCCTGAAATGTGAAGAACTGTGCTCCCGGAACTGGATACAGTGACGGAGCTTGAATGGCATTTGGGAAATGGGGATGCGGATTGTGGAACTCTGACCCGAGGAACAAAAGACTTGTAGTATCATTTAGTGATGACATGTCGGTTCAGATCGAACGACGTGTCGTAAAAAAATCCCTTTAATTCCCTAAATTATAAATAAAAACAAAACAAAACAAAAACCTCTGCTAGACCTTAGGTCCTTCCGTCCGATTGACCAAGTCAACCGGATCCGGGTTTAAGGTCATTGGCTTTTCATCACCGTAAACGGTTTCGCGGGAGGCAAATGCAGTTGCCGCGGCGGTGCTTTTCTGTGCCGTCAAATGTTATGGATGTACTGGAAATGCTGCTCTGAACGACGGCGAATGATGCGGGGTTTTCTCAGCAATATGAACAGGTACTTATCGACCTACAGAGTAGCCGCTAATGCCTTCGAGATGTCTGCAAACCATGGCGAATTGAGGGTTTTCATTGTCGCCGGAGAAGTCTCCGGCGACACCATCGCTTCTCGTCTCATGACATCTCTGAGAACGCTATCTCCTGTTCCTGTTCGTTTCTCCGGCGTCGGAGGGTAAGCTGTTACTTTTTTGAAGTGTCCGAATCGCCTGTTCAAAGGGACATATTTCTGTTTATGGCTGAACCGGCAAGCTATAGTCTAAGATTTCTGCCATTTTGGTCTCTTCCGTGTTTTGAATACTGTCGGTTGTATGTTAACTTTCATTGATTTCGTTTCAGTGATAGTCTGTTTCTTTAACTACCATTGAAATTTCACGTTTTGTTACAGCTCCATGATGTCCAAGCAAGGATTGAAGTCTCTATTCCCCATGGAGGATATTGCAGTAATGGGAATATGGGAGCTATTTCCGCATCTAATGAAAATTAGAGTGAGTAGTTCAAAACATAATATACTGGTGTTCTACTGGTTCTCTTTTTAATGCAAGAGAAGAACAGAACCTTCCTCATAGTCATATGATACAACTGTTTGACAAGAAACGAGCTTCCCATCAAAGAATGAAGAACACAAAAGTAAAAAGGGGAAGTAAGTTAAAAAAAATTATGAAAAAGCCACTTCAATTGATATTTTCATCATAAGAATCATGGAATTATGAAAGAGCTTGGAGATAACACACCCAGTAGTCCCAAGAATTCGACGAGATTCCAAAATCCACAATGGTTCAATGTGTCCCCTAAGCAACATCTGTTCATGTTAGTAATGATAATGACTACTTTTTGATCTGTTAGATTGGTGTTATATGAAGGTGATTTCCTCCGTGTCATGAGATTTGTGGATTTCCACAATGGTTCAATGTGTCCCCTAAGCAACATCTGTTCATGTTAGTAATGATAATGACTACTTTTTGATCTGTTAGATTGGTGTTATATGAATGTGATTTCCTCCGTGTCATGAGATTTGTGGATTGCCTGGTTTATGTGGAGACTTTGGCAATGCCAGGAAAAGCTCAAGAGGACCGTTGAAGCTGCTATAGTGTTTCAACCTCATGTCGTTGTAACGGTGGACTCTAAAGGGTTCTCGTTCCGCCTCCTAAAGCAGATACGTGGTAATTTGCACCAGCATCTCATGGACTATTGAGTTTTGTTACTTGCTTATACAATTAAAACCACATGTGAACACTGAGGTGGTTTTGCAGCTAGATATCGAAACGATAAATTGGCTTGTCCAGTACATTTCCATTACGTAGCACCGTCATTCTGGGCTTGGAAAGGGGGTGAAGAAAGGCTCAAAGGTCTTGTTGAATTTGTTGACCACATTTTATGCATACTTCCAAATGAAGCAGAAGTTTGTAAATCAAATGGATTGGCAGCAACCTTTGTGGGGCATCCCATTCTCGAGGATACGTTAGACCTCAATGCTGTAAGATATGTCTTAATCCTGATTAATGCAGTGTATAAATTCATCATCTTTGAATTAAATTCATGAAAAAGTGGGCTGCATTCATTGTCGTTTATCTTACTCTAATTGACTCAGTTTAATGCAGCCACACTAATGCCCTGTGATTTTATGTAGGGGAAGGATGCCTCATTACTGGAGTTGAAAATACAGGGAAGTTGCAAGGATTTTCTAATTCAAAACGACATTCGTGCTGGTAATACGCCTCGCCTAAACTTTCCTTGAATGTAGATTTCTACTTGGCAGTATCTGTGTATTAAACACTTTTCTCATTTTATGAACCATGACAAGCTTTCAGTCTCATGATATCCAATCATTAGTATTTTTCAAAATTTTGAACATAGATTCCTTGAGCAAAACCTTATAAAGGTGTTACTCGTTTTGTAACGCTATTTTGTCTTTTTATGTATAAATGATTTTGAGCAAAGTTTAGGTATTTGTTAAAAGAAAAAAGAAGCTTAAATCTGGATTTTGTATTGAATCAGTTAAAAATCCTTAGTGAGACATTTGAGGGAATTTTGTTTTTGAAGATGCAACAATCATTTCCCTGCTTCCTGGAAGTAGGTTACAGGAAGTCAGCAGAATGATTCCAATCTATGCAAGTACGTTGGAGTTACTGAAAGAATCCTTCCCGGAGCTGACAACAATCATCCACGTTGCTCCTAATGCTGATGTACAGGACCATATAAGTGGAGTCCTTCATAAGTGGCCTGTGCCTGCCGTATTGGTCGCAGGAGGATCACCACAAGCAAAATATGATGCATTCAGTGTAAGTCCTTTCAGTCTACTCAATGTAACTAACGTTAAAGAAAATTATTTGTTTTTGTTCTAGTATACAAGGCACCGAAAATGAGACTGAGTGGAAAGAAAGGGGGAAGTTAAGTTACAGAAATGGCAGTCGTGGACTCGTACCGCAGTACTTCCTACTTACTTTTGGTAATCCTTATTGTGATCTCTCACTCTGGGCTAAGATAGTCTCTTAAGTGCTTACTGTAATAGCCCAAGCTCACCGCTAGCAGATATTGTCCGCTTTTGCCCGTTACATATGGCCATCAGCCTCGTGGTTTTAAAACGCGTCTACTAGAGAGAGGTTTCTACACCCTTATAAGAAAGATTTTGTTCTCCTTTTCACAATCGATGTGGGATCTCATAATCCACCTCCCTTGAGAGCCCGGCGTTCTCACTGACACACCGCCCAGTGTCTGGCTCTGATACCATTTGTAATAGCTCAAGCTCACCGCTAGCAAATATTGTCCATTTTGGCCCGTTATGTATCACCGTCAGCCTCACAGTTTTAGCGTCTACTAGGGAGAGGTTTCCTCACCTGTATAAAAAAGGTTTTGTTCCCCTCTCCAACCAAGGTGAGATCTCACAACAACCGTTCCCATTTGTAACTCCTATGGTTGAAAATTTGAACCCCGATTCTTGGATATAGTGATTATGACACCCATGCAATACCTCATGCATTCTAGGAGATAAAATTGTTTCAGGTTTGCTGTCACTACCACGTGGTAGTGTCTTGCCTTGAGCCTTGTGAAAGTCGAAAGGCCAAATGATTTTGAGGTAATGAAGTAAAATAGTTGTAAGAACTGGACCTTAAGAATATCCACGCCTGTACCCAGCAGCTACCGTAATCTGCAGACTTTTCTTTTTCCAAGCTCCTAATGCACAGATTTTTTAGCCGACTAACTATTGCTGCTATTAAAATCGTAGATGGAAATTAAGTTCCTTTGATTGAGATGAGTCTCCATTCACGTTTATGTTTGTAGCAGGATTTTACTTCCTTTCTTCTTCCTTGTTATTTGATTTGATTATTTACTTTTCTGAACTATGAGGGCATGGCATGTATTTGGCTTAGTACTGTTACTCATAATGCCAGAACTTAACCACTCAAGCACTAATGAGATTGTTTTGCTTTGGAAGCTGTGACTCGTCAATAGGATGCAATCCTAATCTGAACTTTACATGCCTTGCAGGCAAGTAAGGTTGCATTATGTACTTCTGGTACAGTTGCTACGGAGTTGCAGCTTGCTCGGTTACCTTGTGTAGTTGCTTACCGAGCTCATTTCTTAACCGAATGGTTAATTCGACACAAAGCGAAAGTATCATACATCTCCCTTCCAAATATTCTCTTAAACTCACCTGTTATCCCAGAGGCACTGTTTCAAGAATGCACTCCAGGAAGGCTACAGTCGATGCTCAAGTAACATGATTTTGCATTTTTCATTGCAAACTATCTTTTCCATTAAAGCACAAACATTATCTCATCATCTTAGCAGACACCATAGGCTTGTATTTGGACTGGATATAACTACATATTGCTTGAATTGGTCCGTTTATCATTGCAGGGAATTGATACGTAACGACGGTCTACGCAACAAACAGATTGTCGCAGCCGAAGAGGTTCTTAAACTGCTGTGTCCAAAAGAAAGTACGAAGATCTTAGCACGAGCGGGTTTAAAATGCACATCTTCATCTTCAATCTGCACACCCAGCATGATAGCGGCATCTACCATACTGTACTATGAAAGGACGCAGTAATTGGGTTGGAATCAGCCAATTTTGCAGCAGTGAAAGGCTGATCAATGATCTTTTTACTTTGAACCATTCTTAATTCTTGGAATTGTTCATTTGAGAAACATTTCAAATGAATACAAACCATCGATAATTGTTGGATGATGAAAGTCCCACATCGACTAATTTAGGGGATGATCATTGATTTATAATTAAGGAATACTATCTCTTTTGGTGTGAGGCCTTTCGGGGAAGCCTAAAACAAAGCCATGAGAGCTTATGTTCAAAGTGGACAATATCATACCATTGTGGAAAGTCGTGTTCGTTTAACATGGTATCAGAGCCATGCCCTAAACTTAGTCGTATCAATAGATTGATAAATCGTCAAACAAAGGACTCCAAAAGAAAAAGGAGTTGAGCCTCCTCGAAGGCATAGTCAAAAAATGATTAAGCCTCCAAAAGAAAAAGGAGTCGAACCTCGATTAAGGGAAGGTGTACTTTGTTTGAGGGGAGGTGTTAGATGATGAAAGTCCTACATCGGCAAATTTAGGGAATGATCATTAGTTTATAATCAAGAAATACTATCTTCATTGGTGTGAGGCTTTTAGAGAACCCCAAAGCAAAGTCATGAGAATTTATGCTCAAAGTGGATAATATTGTACCATTGTGGAGAGTCCATAATTAGAGATGGAAGTGCCCAAAGAAAAATTAAAAATAAAATTATTAAAATAAGGAAATAATTAAGAAAAAAACAAATATATATATATATATATATATATATATATATATATATATATATATATATATATATATATATATTTATTTATTTATTTATTTATTGGGAGGCAATATTCTAATTTCGAAATTAGATATTCTATTTTGGTTCTTAAATTTTACTCTTTCAACTCTTAAATTGGTTTCATTTTCACCCCTAATTTTTAAAAAAATATTAGTTTGGCCATACATTTTTTAAAAAATATAACTATTTTGGTATAGTATTATTTTTATCTAATCTAAAAAAATTAATGACGTAATAAAGTAAAGATCAAAATTATTGTTTTTTAGTTTAAAAACAAAATATAACAAACTGTAAAATGAATTTATATAATTTTTTAATGAGTTAAATAATAAATAAAGATTTTAATAAATATATATATATATATATATATACTTAATTGGTCGATCCGTTTTCTTTGATTTCTAATATTGTCCAATTTTACCGAATAATATCCTCAGCCCAATATTGAATGCCACGTGTCAGCATCTCATGGTTTAAATGCACACTACCCTTGCCTCAAGACCAGCTCAATTAAACGGAATTTCCCCAACAATAAAAAATAAAAAAAATAAAAAAAGTGGAAAAAAAAAATCCATTTCTTATATATATTGGTGGCCGCTTCGCCCCTTCAATCCCATTACCACCATCAAACTCCTCCCCCGAAATCATCCGTACTATCAAACCCTAACTTTTTGTAGAAAGGTCCGACCACAAATTTCCTCAACCATGGCAGTTTCAAGACGACTGGCCCTTCTCTCCCTCGGAACAATCCTTCTGTGCCTCTTGTTCACTAGAGCCGCCATCGCCGAGTCCGACTACGGCGACGACATTCACACCGTCAGGCATTCCTCCGATTCCGACAACTGCAATCGCCAGCAACCCTACAAAGGCGACCAATGCAGGGAAGAAAACGACGGCGTAGAGGATGAAGATTTTGATGACACCTACAAGATCGTCAATAACGTCGCCATAAGGTTATCGGCGTCCGGAAGCAAACTTCGTGAGGCGGAGGAAGAGGACGATCTGCCGGTGCCCGAGGAAGAGATCCGCAATCTATCGATAGTGGGGCACTGAGCAGCGGCGAGATCACTCTTTTTTTTTTTTTTTTT